TCGAACTCCTGAGCTCAAACAATCCGCCCGCCTCGGCCTCCCAGAGAGCTAGGATTACAGGAGTGAGCCACCGCGCCCGGCCTCAGTGTAGTATTTTTTATTCTAAAAGTAGGAAAGCTGTTCCTCATTAGCAAGCAAAGAATCAAAAGTGTTTGTTCAAAATGGTGGCACCAGCAAATCTTAGCAGCCTAGAGGGGCTGTCTGGCCCAACTTCTTACCTCCAGACTGGACTGTACGTCCTCCAACCATCTCAGAACGATGGCCATTCACTTCCCTCTTAGGAACCTCCAGAGGATGATACATACAAAAAGCCTTTTAAAAAAGGCATGCCTTTTTGCCCTAAGAACATAACAAAAATGCACAAACGTTTAGATCCCATAGTGTTTATTAGCTATTATTTTAGCTAAAAATGTCCAACAGCAGATTAGCTAAACAAAATATGGCACACTCACACAATGGACTGTTATGTAGTCATTAAAACTCATATTGAAGAATATTATTAAATTACATTAAATGGTATGGAATATAGATAAGTGGAAAAGATAAGCCATAAAATACTATGCTGTGATCCCATGAAAAAAATTGACACAGTTAACAACACACCATGTTTTTAAGAAAGGAAAATAATATGTGTATGTAGGGGGAAATTAGGAACTAAATGTTATCAATGATTCACCAAAATGTTATCAATGATTATTATTTCTAGGTGATGAGATTATGGGGGAGTTTTTTTGCCCCCCCTTCATGATACTGATTTTTTTTTTTGTAAGTTTTCTGTAGTCAACGTGTATTACTTTTGTAGGAAAAAAAACAACCACAATAAGAGCTTTTTGGTAAGTGTTCAGAGCAGGAGATTCTAAACCTTGGGAGTCTGGAATTTGTACCTGGATCTAATGCCAGTTTTCTCCCCCGAGGGCGGTGAAGGGTTGGAGCATCTCTGGGGTAACTTGTCAGAATCTCTCCAGTGGGAGATGTGGTAGAAAAGGTGCATGCTGGGATTTGGGTTTGACAGCCCCCTCCCCTGCCCCCAAAGATGGGTTCAGAAGCTCCCAGCTGGCCTCCCAGCTGTGACTCTGCAGTGGCCATTGCAGAGCCGCCGCCGCCTCTGCATCTCTGAGAACCACGTTCGGAACAGACCCCTGGACAGTAGGAACCACAGAGAGAGGATTGCAGCTCCAGCTTTCTCGACCCCAGCATTTTAAGGAACAGGAGCATCTCATTTCACTATGATGACAAGATAAACTTATCTTAACCATTTTACCAGAGTTCAGTTTTTGAAAAACCATGGGGTAGAAAAGGTCATGATGAGATGCTTCGGTAAACAGGCTGATCTTGAGGGGACAGAATGCTCTGGAGTGAGACAAAGTGTAGGACAAGACTGTTAATCCTAATGTTGCTAATTTCACTCTCTTGCTAGAATATGGACGGAGCCTTGAAGATGACATTTGCTCTGACACGTCGTTCATGTTCCAGCGAGTGCTGGTGTCTCTGTCAGCTGTGAGTCACTGTCTCTGTTGGCTGCTTCTGATGGGGGATGGGTTTTATTAAAATACTCCCTTTTACTAGCCTTTCTCATTCTTTCAGCCCCCCAAATGTGGATCTTCTCCAGGTGTTGTTCTTGAGTCGGTTATTTTATTTCTCCTTCAGAGACTCTGGCTAGTCATGTGTATCCATTTGTTCTACTTAATTCAATATTTACAAGTACCTAATGCATGCCAGGTTCCCCTGTTAGTGCACCGAGAGTTACGAAGACAATTAAGAGGCAGTTCCTGTGCTTTGTTTGTATTGTCGTAAGGGAATATATCAGGTGCACACATTGCATGAAGAGAGACACATAGTAAAAGGAAGGGTCAAGGGGAGGTTCTGGTTGCGGAAACAAAGAAAAGACTTCATGGCGTAAATTCAGAGAGGACTTGGAGGACTGCTAGAATTTCAAGAGGCAGAGATGTGGGTGGGTGCATTCCAGGCAGGAAGAACAGCAGGAACAAGGCGAGGAGGCGGGAAACATATGGGGTGTGTTCAGGGAACAATTGGTTGAGCAGTCAGGCTGGTAATTCTAGAAGCAACTTAGAATGATGAACTGGGATTCCATGTTGGGAGGAGTTTACATTTTATTTATCTGGAGAGCAGTAGGGAACCACCAAAGGTTGGGAGCAGTAGGTGATGTGGTGATGATGATGATGATGATAGCAATGTGATTAGAACTGCATTTTCAGAAGAGTAATGTAATAGTGAGGTGTGGGATGAACGGTGGTTAGCAACTGGAGGCTGGGAGACCAGGTAGGAAGTTACTCAGTATTCCAGGTGGGAAATAAAGCAGGACTGGGCTGGGTGGGGCAGGGGTGCCAGAAAAGAGGAGATGGAGATTTGAGACATTTCACATCACTTCCTAACTGCATCCTTGTCCCGGCCTTCTTCTTGAGCACAAGGCTCTTGTATCTCATTGCTTTTCAGATGTTTCCCTATGGATATTCTACTATCACTTCAAATAAGTCCTCCTGAACTCATTTTCCCTCCAAACCGGCTCTTCTTCCTGACTATCTCTGTTAATACTGTTGCTGTTCTTCCAACGCACAAAGCAGAACCCGGAAATCATCTCCAACTTCCGCCTCATCTCTGATATTTACTTAATAATGCCTGCCTGTTTCTCATATTTCCATCCCATTTTTTTTCCTCCTATATTCACCACTCTGATGAGCCAGCCTAGATCACAGAATACTGAGACAGCATAGCAATAAAAATAGTCTAAAATTTAAACTACAGAGTGGCCCGTTTTGTCGCTCTTTAGCATTCCTCTGAGGCTCCAACCCTGCCCTCCTGTGAGCTGGTGTTGGAGGGGTGGGGGACATTTTCATGTGCTCCTTAAGTCCCACTGCAGGTCCCAGATTCTCTTGACTCTCCTGCTCCCAACCCCTTTTTGGCAGAAGTTGATCACTGTAGAGTTGCCAGGTAGGAAGGCAGGAGTCAGCTGGGAAGACACAGGGGCGTGGGGTGGTGGGGAAGGCAAAGAGATAGTGGAGGGAGCAGTCATTCTCCTTCCCCTTCTACTGGCAGAGACACTGGGCAACATGAGGGGCCACATTGAGGCTAATGTCCTGTAGGCGTAGATCAGAGGACATCTGTCCTCCCTAGGTCTGAAGTCCCACTCCTTGTGGCATTTTGTCTAATCACCATGTCCTTGGGTTCCCAGACCTTCTGCCTTAACTGTGCCCCCAAATCTTCAGGGATACTCTCTAATTCTTTTTGGTTGTTTTTCTCATCCTCAGGGTGGTAGGGATGAAGGAAATCAGCTGGATGATGCTCTCATGAGGCAGGATGCCCAGGTTAGTACAAGTGCAGCTTCTTTCTTCCAGTTGTCTTCTCTTTTGCCAGTATGACAGGCCTTAATTGGTGGACAACCTCTTATATTGCAGTGTATATTAGCCAGGCTGGGATATATCATGGAAAAAAAAAAGCATTCTCACAGATGACAGTTTATAACAGAGGTTTTTTATTTTTGCAGAGGGACCTGGTGCTTGGGGGTGGCACTGGACATCATTACATAAGCACTCCTGGATTCCAGGTTTCTTGACATTGGGTCCATTGTGTGGCAATCCCAGATAACCACTTGGAGGTGATTGCTTTTTTCACTGTGCATTTTTACTTCCCCAAAGAGAACATCTATAGGACCTGTGTAAAACAGCATGGCACAGTGTATACCCTGTTGGGTAAAACTGATAGCAAACCCCAAAGGCAGGTGCTTCTCTGGTACCCAAACCACAGATGGTTGCCCTGGTACCAACCCCTGGTCTAATCAGCTGTGGCCCAATAACACTAATTATAATGGCTAATAAAATATGGGTTCTTACCAGATTCCAAACACTGTTCTAAGCCCTTTATATGAAGTATATCATTGAATCCTTCCATAACTCTATGAGGTAAGTATTTGCTACCTCCATTCTACAGACAAGGAAATTGAGGCTCAGAGAAGTCAAGTTCTTTGCTCAAGTTGAGATAGATAATAATAGGCAGAACTGGAGATTTCAACCCAAGCAATTTGCATCTAGACCCTGTATTCTTAACCAATTCACCACCACAGTGCGTGATTGGTCCCATTTAGTGTGTGAGGTATGAATCACCATGCCTTATGTAGAAAAGGAGCTGTTGCTTTCATTAGAAGGGAGGGGGTATGTGTATGGCTTGGGCTTCTCAGTGCTTGGCTGCTGGGTTTCAAGAGGAAGCACCCCAAAAGCAAGTATCCGATTGAACCAGTGGAAGTTGCATGACTGTTTATGATCTAGCCTCAGAAATCAGTGTCACTTCCGCTATACTTTATTAATTGAAGTGTACTAGTCAGGGTTCTTCAGAGAAACAGAACCAGTAGGATGTACGTGTGTGTGTGCGTGCGCGCATGTGCACGTGTGTGTGTGTGTGTGTGTGTGTGTGTGTGTGTGTGTGTATGTGTGTGTCTGTATGAGACAGAGAGAGATTGATTTATTATAAGGAATTGGCTCACAAGATTATGGAGGTGAGCAAGTACCAAGATCTTCAGGGTGAGTCAGCAAGTGAGAGCCAGGAGATGGTTTTGTTCCTGTGTGAGTCCAAAGCCTGAGAACCAAGAGAGCTGATAGTGTAGTTTCCATCCTAAGGCCAGCTGGCTGGAGACCCAGAAAGGGCCAATGTTTAAGTTCAAGTCCAAAGGTAGTGAAAAAAAGCCTGATGTTCCAGCTCAAGGCAGTTAGGTAAGACTTCCCTTTTACTCTTGTGGGGGTCAACCTTTTTGTTCTTTTGAGGCCTTCAACTGATTGGATGAGGCCCACCCACAATAGAGAGGGCAATCTGCTTTACTCAGTCTACTGATTTAAATGTTACTCTCATCCAAAAAAACCCTCACAGAAACACCCAGAATAATGTTTGACCAAATATCTGGGCACCCTAGGCCTAGTCAGGTTGACACATAAAATAAATCTCCACAAGCTGCCACAAGCCTGCTAAGATTCAAGTTTAAGAAGAATGGAATTAGATGAACTTTTTGAGCCTTTTCAGCTTTAAAATTCTATGATTATGTTAATTGACTCTAAAGCAGAGAGGAAATCTGAGAAAGAAGTAAAGAAACAGAGGCATAGATGGTGGTAAACCCAATGAGTGACAATGTGTGTTAGAGTTAAGACCATTTTGAGAAATTTAACAAGCCAGCTGCTTATTATAAATCAATAGTAGTTCTGATTTATCAAGAATCTAGTTCAAGTGAGCCGAATCAATTTCTTATATTCCTACTGGTTGGAATGTAAGCAATTACCAATGGGATCCTGGTTCTACTGTGAGACAGATCATTTTAGAGCAGCGCTGTCCAACAGAACTTTCTGCGATGATGAAAACATTTCACATCTGCACTGCCCTGTATGGGTGGCCACTGGCCACACGTAGCCACTGAGCACTTGAAATGTGACTGAGGAGCTGAATTTTAAATTTTATTTAATATTAATTAAAATTTAAATAGCCACATGAGGTTAGTGGCAACTGTCTGTAACAGCCCAAGTCTAGGGCATTCCTTTTAGCTCTTAAGAAAGAACTATGGAGTCTGCATACAGGCAACTGCGGGTGTTGCCGTGACTCCAGGGAGGTACTACAGGGTCCTGATAGTCATAAGGAAAAGTCCTGAGTCATTTCCACTCTGCACCACCACTTCCACCCCCATCACTAACAACATAATACTAAGCCAGCTCAGCTCTTTGAAGTTCTGGAAATATTTGCATATGTCCTGGCACATCCTTCTTGGTGCTTTAAACTGGTGCTTTGTTTGGCTTCAGGACTTGTATGAGGCTGGAGAGAAGAAATGGGGGACAGATGAGGTGAAATTTCTAACTGTTCTCTGTTCCCGGAATCGAAATCATCTGTTGCATGGTAAGGCACTTACCTCACTTCCCAAAGAAACTATTCGAAAGACAGTGAAAACTGTATTGCTCCTAATTAATTGTGACCTTTTCTCCTGCACTTGGTACAGAGAACTGATTGTACTGAACTGCCTTAGATACTTATGTTGGAAATGCATGAGTCCAATGATGTGCATGAAAGCCAATTTCTGAAAGATTAATTATGAATAATTAGCAGAAATACAATGTATTCATAGATGGTTGGTGTTCCCATTACTAGGAAACTTACCTTCATAGACAGTCCTTTTTCTAAAGTAGCCCCAAGACTCTCATTTTAATTTAGTTACATAAGAAAATAATCTTCAGTAGAACAGGAAGCAATAAAATAGAAATGTTGGTTGATATTTATTCCTGTTTAACATCCAAGCTGTAAAGCTAATAAATGTGATTTCTTTAGGAGTTATGTTGCATAATATGAATAGTGGATAATTTCAAATTTTATTTCCTATGTGTAATGTTTCTAATTTGTTTCTGATAATTCTAAACTTTGTAATATGCTTTTAACTCGTTTGGGGGAAAGATGCTATACAATTATAGAATATTTGTTGTCAGGTTTATAGTCTTCTTGTAAACAGCAGCAAGGGTTTAATAAGATATTTCATCTTTTAATGTCTTACGTTTTTATGTACATCATACTTTTATAAACCCACCACGCCCTTATAATCACACACACTAATTTACAAAGCTTGTGGGAAATTTGAGAATGAGTCTGCTAAATTGAAAACATAAGGTAATTGAAAAGTACAACACATTTTGAAGTTGTAATTATTTCAATTATTCCACAGTGACCAAAAAACAGGTGATTGCTCCTGTTAATAAACCTCCTGGGCTACCATCAGATGCACCAACTTCTGATTCATTGCGGTCCCTTGCCTGATTACGAATAACACAAATCTCCCCCTGGTGGTATTTTCCAAGAACTTCAGGTCCTCGGAAGCCGATTTTATGCATAAATACATTTGTAAGAATTTTTACTTGCAGGCACGAATGCTGCAGTTGGGCAGTTATAAAATATCTGTTTTTAAGCCACTGGCAGGAAATATTCTAAGCATTATTTGGATAAAGAAAACTTCGTAATTTTCTTACCAACCAACAATGGTGAGGATTCACAATAAAGTTTTAAAAATACTTTTCTATCTCTTATGTGCAGTGTTAAGCATATTATGAGCATTGTTTCTTGCAACATCCCAATGGAGTAGTCATTATTTTCCCCATTTTACAGTGCAGAAAACTGAGGCTTAGAAAGTGTATCAATTAAATTCTTTAATTCCAAGCAATATACACTGACTCCAACTTAAGAAAAGAGAAAATAATACAGAATCAGAGAAGAGGAAAATGAAAAATACTGGTAGCTCACAAAATCGAATGGAGAGATGAACAACTTCAGGAAGAACAAAAACCAAGGCAATTCTGAGGATCTCAGTAGAAGGGAGTCGTGGATTTTATTTCTAAGGCAGAGTTTTCTGAAGTCTGTTCTCCATTAAAAATACTGATTCTTGAACCCCTTCTTTAGACTGGTTGAATTAGAATCTCTGGGAGTGACACCCAGAAATTTTAATAGGTATCCCAGGTGATGCTTATGTTCTTTGAGGAAAAAGATGACTCAGTGCTTTTGGCCATCCCCATGATCTGCTCAATTTTAAATTTTTTAAATTCCCAGGAAGGTAAGTCTAATGGGTCCTGACTAGGTGAACTGCTTACTTGTTTGATAGAAGTTATGGTGTATGTTTTTGGGTATGAGTGTCCCTTGATTGACAGCCCTGTGAAAATCACATTGATGGAGGTGAGGTGGTGCCCTGAAGAAGATAAACAAAATAGATACCTGCTCTGAGAAGGTTCTGGAAGAGGACAGAAAGAGAAGAAAACATATTCATCACATTCAGAAATACTTGGCAAAAGGCTGGGCACAGTGGCTCACGCCTGTAATCCTAGCACTCTGGGAGGCCGAGGCAGGTGGATTGTTTGAGCTCAGGAGTTCGAGACCAGCCTGA